AGCAGCAAAGGTTTGGTCTGGGAAGTTGTTTTAAAGGAAACAGGTCTATCGAGTACAGAAATTTCCTGACTTGACCTTATGCCTTCTCCATCTAAAGTAATTAACATGGGACTCTGTTTATGTGGCATCCTGTTACAGACACACATCTAATATGGGGTAACAAGGTGCAGAGCTGGATGAACACAGCAGGCCAAGCAGCATCAGAGGAGCAGGAAGGCTGACATTTCGGGCCTAGACCCTTCAGAAATGGGGGAGGGGAAGGGGGTTCTGAAATAAATAGGGAGAGAGGGGGAGGCGGATAGAAGATGGATAGAGGAGAAGATAGGTGGAGAGGAGACAGACAGGTCAAAGAGGCGGATTGGAGCCAGTCAAGGTGAGAGTGTAGGTGGGGAGGTAGGGAGGAGATAGGTCAGTCCAGGGAGGATGGACTGGTCAAGGGGGCAGGATGAGGTTAGTAGGTAGGAGATAGGGATGGGGCTTGAGGTAGGAGGTGGGGATAGGTGGGAGGAAGGACAGGTTAGGGAGGCGGGGACAAGCTGGGCTGGTTTTGGGATGCGGTAGGGGGAGGGGAGATTTTGAAGCTTGTGAAGTCCACATTGATACCATTGGGCTGCAGGGTTCCCAAGCGGAATATGAGTTGCTGTTCCTGCAACCTTCGGGTAGCATCGTTGTGGCACTGCAGGAGGCCCAGGATGGACATGTCGTCTGCAGAATGGGAGGGGGAGTTGAAATGGTTCGCGACTGGGAGGTGCAGTTGTTTAGTACGAGCATAGGTGTTCTGCAAAGCGGTCCCCAAGCTCGAACAGTTCATCCACTTCACCAACACCTTCCAGCCCAACCTCTCTCTCCTTCCTGGACCTCTCTGTCTCCATCTCTGGAAACCACCTAGAAACCGATATCCATTTCAAGCCCACTGACTCCCACAGCTACCTAGAATACACCTCCTCCCACCCACCTTCCTGCAAAAATGCCATCCCCTATTCCCAATTCCTTTGCCTCCGCCGCATCTGCTCCCAAGATGAGGCATTCCACTCCCGTACATCTCAGATGTCCTCGTTTTTCAAGGACCACAACTTCCCCCCCTCAGTGGTTGAGAACGCCCTCGACCATGTCTCCCACATTTCCCGCAACTCATCCCTCACACCCCCTCCCCGCAATAACAACCAAAACAAAATCCCCCTCGTCCTCACGTACCACCCAACCAACCTCCAGATCCAATGCATCATCCTCCGACACTTCCACCATCTGCAATCCGACCCCACCACCAAAGGCATTTTTCCCTCCCCACCCTTATCTGCTTTCCAGAGAGACCACTCTCTCCGGGACTCCCTTGCCCGCTCTACACTCCCCTCCAGCCCCACCTCACCTGGCACTTTTCCTTGCAGGCGCAGGAAGTGTTACACCTGCCCCTACACCTCCCCCCTCACCCTCATCCCAGGCCCCAAGAAGATCTTCCACATCAAGCAGATGTTCATCTGCACATCTGCTAATGTGGTATACTGTATCCGCTGTTCCCGTTGTGGCCTCCTCTATATCGGGGAAATCAAGCAGAGGCTTGGGGATTGCTTTGCAGAACACCTACACTCGGTTCGCACTAAACAACTGCACCTCCCAGTCGTGAACCATTTCAACTCCCCCTCCCATTCCTCAGATGACATGTCCATCCTGGGCCTCCTGCAGTGCCACAATGATGCTACCCGAAGATTGCAGGAACAGCAACTCGTATTCCGCTTGGGAACCCTGCAGCGCAATGGTATCAATGTGGACTTCACAAGCTTCAAAATCTCCCCTCCCCCTACCGCATCTCAAAACCAGCCCAGCTCATCCCCGCTTCCCTAACCTGTCCTTCCTCCCACCTATCCCCTCCTCCCACCTCAAGCCCCACCCCCATCTCCTACCTACTAACCTCATCCCGCCCCCTTGACCCGTCCGTCCTCCCTGGACTGACCTATCCCCTCCCTACCTCCCCACCTACACTCACCTTGACTGGCTCCATCCCTGCCTCTTTGACCTGTCTGTCTCCTCTCCACCTATCTTCTCCTCTATCCATCTTCTATCTGCCTCCCCCTCTCTCCCTATTTATTTCAGAACCCCCTTCCCGAAGGAGGGTCTAGGCCCGAAACGTCAGCCTTCCTGCTCCTCTGATGCTGCTCGGCCTGCTGTGTTCATCCAGCTCTACACCTTGTTATCTCAGGTTCTCCAGCATCTGCAGTTCCTACTATCTCTCAACTAATATGAGGCCCTGTTTATGCAATTCTATATTAATGATGTGTTACTATCGAAAAGACTTTCTTATAAATATGTGGACTAAGAAGCAATTAATACAGGGTTCCATTTATCTGTATTTACCAGAGATCACCTACTACTCTAAAACTTAACTGGACTAGCCAAACAAATAATGTGACTGAAAGACCAGATGAGAGACTGCAAATTCTGTGGTAAGTAACTCATCTCCTGACTCCCCAGAATCTATCTCTGGAATCTAAAAGGCACAAGTCAGGAGCATGATGAAACACTCACCCATTCCTGATTGAGTTTAGTTCCAATAACACTCAAGAAGCTCAACATCATGCAGGACAAAGCAGCATGCCCCCTCATTCAGCACACTAAATACTTACTCCCTTTACCATTGTCACAACAACAAAATGCACTGCAGTCACTAATTAAGGCTCCTTTGACAGCACCTTCCAAACCTGCTACCTCTAGCATCAATAAGGACAAGGCAGACGATGTATGGGAATACCATTGCCTGCAGTTACTCTTCCAAGCCACTCACGATCTTTACTTGGAAATATATCACTGTTCCTTCAGTGTTGCTTGATCAAAATACTGGAACGCAGGCCCCAACAGCACTGTGGGTATACCTTCATAACAATGGATTGCAGCAGCTGAAGAAGGTGGTCACCATCACCTTCTCAAGGGAAATTAGGAATGGGCAACAAATATTGGCCTTGCCAGCGATGCTAATGACGAAAGAATTAAAAACCTCTCATGTTCTATTGGAGACTTTTCCAGTATCCTGTTTATCTCAGCTCTGATGCAGGCATCTCGGTTCAGTAACTCTGAATGCCTTTAGCCTCCAAGCCATGTCACAGCAACTGTGGCAGTAGTCAAAGGCATAATAACAGCCATTGCATTTATTGAGCATTCTTATGCCGAGAGGCATGCGATATTTCACTACAACCAGTGAATATAGGAGTGTGAGATAACAAGGTGTAGAGCTGGATGAACACAGCAGGCCAAGCAGCATCAGAGGATCAGGAAGGCTGACGTTTCGGGCCTAGACCCTTCTTCAGAAAAAAAAAATGTGTGGGGGGTCTGGAAGACTAATCAGGAAATAATCAAACCAATACCACTGCTTTTCTTTCCTGTAAAATGGCTAAAAACATTTAAAGCTTTTTGTTTAAACAAAATGGAATGATATTTATGTCCACGCTACATGGTGTAAGGATATGCGCTGTTCAAAAGAATAAAAGACTTGGATTACATTGCTGGAGCATCTTTTTATATTCATTTGTGAGATATGGGCATCACTGGCAAAGCCAACATCTGCTGCCCATCTGCGACTGCTCTTTGCAACAGAGTGACTTGCTCGGCCAATTCAGAGGATAGGTAAGGGCCATAGCGCAATGGGCCTAGAGTTACATACAGTACAGACTAGGCATGGGCAGCAGGCTTTCTTCCCTAAAGGATATTAGTGACACGGATAGATTTATGCAACAATCTGGCAGCTGCAAGATCACCAATATTAACACTAACATCTTACTGACAACTTAATAAACGGCCTGAATTTAAATTCCCTAGCTTAAATTCAATATCAAGTCTCTGAAGTACTAGTTCGGTAACATAAGGACTATGCTACGAAAAGACCAAGACATTGGGCTTTCCCCCCCAACACACTTGTGCAAAGTTTCTACTGAAATAATCATCCAATGCTTTCTTGAATGCCTCAGTCAACTGCCTCTACCATACTTGCAGGCAGTGCATTCCAGACCAGAATTACTCGTGTGGAAAAGATTTTTCTCATGGTATATTTGTTACATTTGCAAATCATTTTCAATCTGTGCCTTCTCGTTCTCGATCCTTTTCCCGAGTGGGAACAGGGCTTATCGACTCTATCTAGACCTCTCATGATTTTGAGAACTTCTTTCAGTTCTCCTTTTAATTTTCTTCTTTCCAAGGAGAACAGGGCTAACCTCTCTAATCTATTATCATAACTGAAGTTTCTCTCCCTAAAACCATTTTAGCAAATCTCTTCTATACTCTCTTACAGTGTGGCAGCCAGAACTGTACAAACATTGCGCTTTGCAAACCAACATATCACTAACTGGATGCAATAACACATCTTGTGACAAACACCTTTAAAGGGTATGCTGGATAAGTACACGTGTAATTTTTGCCCAAGAGGGCTGCAGATACTCAGTTGGTATATTCAAGATTGACTGACTGATCTTTGACAATTAGGTAATTGAGGGACATGGGAGCTTGTGAGAGAACGAGCAACTGAGGCAGAATATCAGCCATGATCTTACTGATTGGTGGAGCATGTTGAGGGTGGAGTTGCAAGGGCCTAATTTTAATTCATAGAATCAGTACAGTATGAAGCAGGTCATTCGGCCCATCAAGCCCACAGACTCTCCAAAGAGCATCCCACACAGAGTGCCCCCCGACCCCAAACTTTTTAAATTGCAGCCATTAGTTGAGTTGAAATTGTTGGCGAGGGCACTGAGAAATGCCCTGCTCCTTATGAACTGTGACTAGGGGTTCTTCAACATCATCCCATCAGTTCAAACTTCTCACTTACTGACCCTCTCATCAACATAACACTTTCTGAACATTGCACTTGAGCTTGAAGTGTCAGTCCAGTTTACAGATAGAAGCCTTAATCCAACAAAACAGAGACAGCACTGCAGTCATCTGAGATCAGAAAATGAAAAACAGTGTAAAACCTCACTATTAATTTGTCAAAATGAACTAAACTCAATTTTAAAATTACTTACGAATTCAAAGTCCCCATCCTGCGGCACCTTCCAGTTATCAGAGGAATTCTGAAGTGCGTTTCGATTACTGTGACTGGTTGCTGGGTTTTCTTTCTCCTTCTGTTCAAAATACTCCAGGAAGGATGGTTTGCTTTGCTGCACAGTCTCCTCATTTCCTGTTTCATTATATAAAATACAGACAGAGTTAAAAGGTAAATTTCAGAGTTCTTGCCCATATATATCTGCACTCAGTGCCATATATTCTCCATAAATCACAGAATCAGGACATTGCTGCAAAGTCAGTGATGGGCCAGATTCCTGTACCTCAAGGAAGGCACAAGGTGAAGAACAGGAAGGAAAAAAAAACTCTTTCTCAGGTAGATGGACTTAAGATACAAATCAACTGGGCTCTAACTGAATTGAGATACACGTACTGAGGAACTAGAGAAATGTGAATCTATGAAGTGTACCGAAATACCAACCTCAGAAGCACAGATCTCCCCCAACAGTTGAACTCTCAACCTTATCCCACAACCCCCATCCTTCCCTTACCACCCCTCGCAGGATCCCAACAACCTTTAAGCCTCAAAATGGGGTCACAGTGGGAAAAGGTTTGGAAACCATTAGCATAAGCTCTTGAACCACTCCCTTCAACCTCTACCTCTCCTTTTCCTCCTTCAATGTGTAAAACCTACAGCTTTGACCAAACCTTTGGTCATCTATCCTATTATCACTTCACGTGGCTCAGTGACAAATTTTGGTGTATAATACTTCTCCAAATTACCTTGGGACATTTTATAACATTAACAGTGCTAATTGATGTAGCTTAGTTTCGGTCCATTTCATCATATGAGTGGGGGAAGGGCAGCAGGGGAGGAGGGGGATTTGCTACTGCTACCTTAGAACTTGCAACTCCATACAAGTCTCAAACTCCAGTCTGGAAAGCCCTAGCTTAGGATCTAGACACAAGCCCCAATAATAGACCAATTAAAATCAGGAATACAGGATGAATGTGTGAAGTGAAGAGGTTCAGTATTCAATGTAAAGAAAGTCAGAAGTCACATGACACCAGGTTATAATCCATCAGGTTTATTTGAAATCACAAGCTTTCGAAGTGTTGCTCCTTCATCAGGTAAAGTCAACGTAAAGAAGTGATTGATGTCTATAATAAAACTCTGGACAGGATAGTACAGACAAATGGCTTTAATTAGAGATATATTAAAGGGAGACCACATCCATTGTGGCTGGTTTCTGACATTTCACATCCTAAACCTTAGCTCTGCTACCTGAATCTAAACTTGCACCAAGTCTCATTTACCCATCACCCTCTCTACTTGATGACCTACATTAGCTCCCTGTCTAGTTGCATTTTAAACATCTCAATATTGTTTTCAAACAATTGCCACAGTTTACATGCTATGTCTGATGCTTCAAAATATTTCAAGATTACCCAATTATCTGAATTATGAGCTGTCTGAAGTCTGAATTTTCTATAGCAGTTAGCATGTTCTATTGCTCTAAGATCACCCAGAGGAAGAAGCTAATTGGGAAAAGTCAGTCCTTTATACATCAAAATAAATGCACACACAGGAACACTGCAACATATGAAGACAACCAGCAACAGGGAAAGTAAAGCCCACTCTTTTTAATTTAACAATGTCAAAACACAATGGACATTTTTAAAAAGGGCAAAAAAATTAAAATTTGATTGGGAATAATGAATGCAGTCAAAACATCCAATTTCATTCTTAAAATAATTTGCATCGCTTCTTATCTTCATCACAGCCGTAGGCCGTCACAATTCCTTATTTACATTCGAAACAAAAACAGGAATTGCTGGAAAAGCTCAGCAGGAAGGGGTCTGAGGAAGGGTCACTAAACCAGAAACATTAACTCCGATTTCTTTCCACAGATGCTGCCAGACCTGCTTAGCTTTTCCAGCAATTTTTGTTTTTGTTTCCGATTCACTGCATCAGCAGTTCTTTTGGATCTTATTTACGTTAATTACTTTGCCACTTTTGTATGATTCCTCATGCAGTTCAATAAAATAAAATAAAATTTAAAACTCTGCCTGATACAGGAGTGGGAAGTTCTAGTTTGGCATTCTGAAGGTTTGTTGTGTACGTGAGCTAGCCAGCTCATACTACTCTGTCATGGTTTCAATGCAGAACAAGGGCAAATGACAATAGCAGCCTCAGGCCAACAGAACACAGGTTTACACAGAGATAAATTATAGGAGGAGGTCACTTGGTCCATGCTGCCTGTGTTGGTTCTTTGAAAGCTGTAAGGACGCTCATTTCAGCAGTTCTTCACTGAGCTGCAATCACTAAATGGAATGGACTATCAGGTTAGATGCAGAGGCAAAAACAAGTGATTTTTTTTTTAAAAAAATCATTCATAGAATGTGGGTATACCCGGCTAGGACAGCATTTATTGCTGATCCCTAATTGACCACGGGGCAGTTAAAAGTAAACAGTATTGCTGTGGGGGCCTGGAATCACATATAGGCCAGACCTGGTGAGGATGACTAACATCCTTACTCAAAGGACATGAGTAAACCACAAGGGCTTTTACAACAGTCAACAGTGATGTTATCAATACCTTTAGTCTAGCCATTTTTTGAGACTGGTTCAACGAAATGAGAGTTTTAGTCCAGAATACTGAACTTAAATAAGCCAGTCATCTTCAACATACATAGTTATTAACATATGACCAGCTCATAATAACTGCAATAGCCGAGGGAGAAGAAAGGGTTTCTAAATCATGACACAAATTGGCAATAGGAAACACAGTATACAGGAGTACACCATTCAGCCCTTCAACCCTGCTGTGCCATTCAATAGGGTCATGGTAGATCAACCATGATCATCTGTAGCCTATTCCCACTTTCACCCCATACCTCTTGATCCCTTTAGCCCCAAGAACTATATCAAACACTGATGTAGAGGTGCCAATGTTGGACTGGGCTGGGCAAAATCAGACAACACCAAATTATAGTCCAAAAGATTTATTTGAAATCAGAAGCTTTCAGCGGACTGCTCAATCATCAGGTGAAGTCGTCCAAGGGGAGGTGATGGCCTACTGGTATTATCACTGGACTGTTAATCCAGAGACCCAGATAATGTTCTGGGGACCCGGGTTCAAATCCCACCATGGCAGATGGTGAAATTTGATTTCAATAAATATCTGGAATTAAGAATCCATTGAATCTGTGAATCCATTGTTGATTGTCAGGAAAAATCCATCTGGTTCACTAACGTCCTTTAGGAAGGAAACAGCCATCCTTACCTGGTCTGGCCTACATATGACTCCAGACCCACAGCAATGTGGTTAACTTTTAACTGCCCTCTGGGCAATGAGGGATGGGCTATAAATGCTGCCTCGCCAGCAACGCCCTCATCCCACGAATGAATAAAAAAAAAAGCGCAGTGCTTGTGATTTCAAACAAACCTGTTGGACTATAACCTGGTGTTGTGTGACTTCTGACTAAATCTAACTTGGCCTTGAAAACATTCTCAACCAGTTTCCGTGGCAGATGATTCCACAGGCTCAGTGCTCTCTGGGTAAAGAAATTTCTCCTCATCTCAGTCCTAAATGGCCTGCACCCGATCCTGGTTCTGTAAAGTAATTACTAATAATAAATTTGAAAGAGCAGCTTGTCTGCAGTAAGCAAAGCAGCAATTTAGAAACACGCTGCACTAAACATATCTACCAACGTCATATCTTATTGCAGATAATTACTGTAACTACAATCTGTGAAATAACTAAAAAATCCATGTCCACCACTGGTAGCATCAACATGGATTTCAGTCAAAACCAACAGTTGGCATATGGAATTATCACGTGATCACACATAACAAGCATCTTCCACATTGGGATTTAGCAAGTGCAATGGGATGTATTTGTACTCTGTCCAACTGAAGCACTGAAAAATGCCCTTTGATACATTGACAATTTCTGCCTTTCCTAACTCTAAGTGCGTACTCTGAGCTGTATAACAGAGATGCCACGGATCACAAAGACAGGGTGAGAGAGGAAAGAAAAATATTCCAACAAATTTAAACTGAAAGTTAAATGTTGAAACCAGTTCCACCAGGATTTGAAAGATAAAAGGTCAGAAAGTAGCTTGAAGTGGAAATCATCTGGTAAATTTATTCCTGAAACTTGAAGTAGAAGGAGAATGATCTGCTCAAGATTTACTGGTTTGGTATTTAAATTGGATTAGAATTTTATGAAGTAAAGGTCACAACATAAGGTGAATAGTTGGGTTTAAGATACAGGTTAGCCATATTCTGACCAACTGCATAGAGGTTTGAGGGGATGGATGGTCTCTTCCTGTTCTGATTCACAAAAATAAATTCTCAAGAAATGCGTTACATACTTGCATTGGTTTTATAATATTTTTCGTAAGAATGTGTTTTCCTTTGTCCTTGCTTTTGTCATTTGCAGATTGCTCACTTGACTGGTCTCCTACATCCCTCTACAAACCCTTACCGGTTTTGCTGCTTGAAGCCAAACCAACACTAAGTATGAATCATTAGTAACACTTACACTTGCTGACCTATATCAGTTACCAGTCAGCCAATGCCCCAAATTTAAAATACCTCCAACGGTCTCTGATGCCTCAATTCCTCCATTACATAACTCCCTCCAACCCAAGAACACACCCAGCCACTTCTAACAGCCAAAATCTGCATTCCTTTCAGTCTAGCCTTTTGTACATCCATCGCATTATTTATTGCAAATTCCTAAAAACACTGCCTGATCGCACAAACTTAAATGCATTGCGAAGTTCATAAAGCATTGGAGCAGATGTAGGTGATACAGCCCATTAAAGTCTGCTTTGTTACTCAATGAAATCATGGCTGATCTAATAATTCTCCATTTCTCTACTATTTCCCTATAACCCTTGAATCCCTTACTGATTAAAATTCTGTCTTATCTCAGCTTTGAATATACTTAACATATCCCTCTGTGATAAAGAATTCTGCAGATTCACCACTCTGAGCTAAGAAATTCCTCCTCATCCGTGCATTAAATGAGCGGATCCTTATTCTGAGACTGTGCCTACTGAAACAACCTCTCTTCATCTATCCTGATAAATGCCTTAAGAATCTTGTACAGGTAGTTCTGCTATAATGCGTGTTTCATTCACGTGGATCGGCTGTAACGCAAT